TAATTAATAGCAGCCCTCGTATGTAAATTTGGTTTATTATAAAGTGAATTTTTGAAACGAATTTTAAGGGGTTGTGGTGCATTGAGCATTTAATTAGTAAGTAATTAGATGAAACTCAGTTTATTTGTAATTCAATGTTTTCCGAAAAGACGGACACATATTGCAATTCAATTTAAAGAGTAAACAATAATTTTCTATATTATGTTTCATTACGAATTTAGTTAACTTTCTGTTTAATTTTCGGTCTTTAAAGGATATATGAGCAACATTTTGGATATTCATATCCTCAGCGTTGCCAGGTTGACGTTTTTTTACATTCATATTGTTGTCTTTTATATCCTGTTGACGTTAAATGTTTTTCGGGTCTAATATGCGGTTTTTTTCTTTGTGAAAAAGAAAAAAACAAATTCAAACAAGGTTCGGAAATGTAGACAAGCGATGCGGCTATCCCTCTACAACCAAATATTTTTAATCTAATGAGAAAAATTTACGACCGCAGCCATAATGCTCGGCGTATATTATTCCAGTAGCTTGCCAGTCATGGTATAACGAATGATCTATAAGTCAACTTAGACGTCTGTGACATCAAGGCCTTTATAAGTAGTAGAGGCTTAACAACAAATGCACCGAGGAACTTTTGAGATTAAACAATTTCAAGTGGCTAAAAATTACCGTTGATTTTTTGGAATTTTTTTGCACCGAAGAAGTTGCAGGTTTATTTTGTGCTTACTCGTTATATGGAAGCAAATGCGACAAAAAAAAATCTAAAAATGAACGGTAATTTTTAGCCATTAGAATCTTGCACATTATCAAAACTGTGTACTCAAAAAAATTCGAACACTTCTAAGAGAAAAGCTTGAAATTTGTTGATTTTTTTTTAGTATTTAACAAAGCTTTAAACTTGAGCTTATATGATTTTGTTAGGGAAGGAACTGTATTTTAATTCTTTAAAATGAATAATTAAAGTGGCTAAAAATATCACTTTAAAATGGGTGTGCTATAGATATGACCAATACTGTATGTGCAACTTTAGAACATACCTCTCCCTCTCTAGAGTTTTACAATTTTATTTTTTTTCACGATTTTCCCAAACTATCGGCGTGTAGAAAAAGTGCTTCAGGCCTAAATTTAGGGCCATTATTATACTTTCCGATTAACGTATAAGGCAAATCCAAAATCAAAAAAAAAATGTATGCCAAAGCTATATAACAATTTATTCAAGTCAACAAGTAAATGTTGCTCTCAACAACAATATCCACATTTTATCTTTTCTGATTAGTTGAGATAAACAGTGGTCCTCCAGAAATATATTGTAAAATCTAGTATTTGGATTTTTAAGGTACTAGTTAACTCGCTGCTCAGAAAAGTAAGCTGTCAACCGTATTTGCATGCAAGATTTCAAATTTCCTTAGTTAATTCATTTGTGCAAGTTATTGCAAAAAAAAAGCTTTCCTAAACGCTGTTTTGACGTAAATGTTTCCAACAACGCGTGAATTTACGTTTATTAATAGACCTTCTTAGCGGAAAAAGCAATAAACGTACATACGTATATACTAAGTATAAATACGTTTTTTTAATATTTCTTATTTATTCAAATAAACTTTCGCTAAAATCGCTTAACTTCAACTTTAGCCTGTCAACAAACAGCTTAGTCAAAAACGATAAAGTTACACAGTTACAGTTTTTTTTTTTGTATTCACTTTTTCAATATGTAGAGAGCGTATATTTATATAGTACATAATTTATGCAAAAAAGTTTTGTTTCAACTAGCTATGTATGCGCCGCGCCGCAACACCCACATAAAGCTTAAATGCTTTCGCCGCTTCTGCTTTGGACTTTACGTGCATTTGAATTAGTGCATTTGACAGTTGGCCTCTGGACATGACCACCAGTACCACTCGAACGCTCACTGCCGAAAAATGCTAATAGCATTTGTGCAAAACTTTCTCCAATGAGTAAAGCTCTTGGAAATGGAAGGTACAAGGAAGTGTACGGACGCGAAGCCAGAGTAGCTCCCTTACTTGTTTACAAGTAGTGGTTTTTTTCATATTTCATTTCCTTTTTAATTTCATTTAAAGGCATAAAATCTCAAATAAGTATATATATGTAATTTTAAGCGCTGTATTTGTTTGCGAAATTGAATTACCTAAATATTTTGAATAAAGTGCATGAAAAATAAATATGTGCATAGATCATCGATGCTAAATAGTGGCAGTGGATTTTATTTTCTATACGCAACTTGAATTCATTTTTCTCTTAAAAAAAAATTCAATTAACGAAGTGTGCTTAGGCTTAGCTTATTTAGCTCTGCAGACTGCCATAAAAATAAAATTAATAAATATTTATGTACTCATATTTTTACTAAGTGTTTAGCCAAAGTTCTCCTCCAACTTGCGGAAAATATATTAAAAAATCGAATTGGAGCTACTTTTGCTTATTATGGGAAAATATAAAGAGAAAGATTTACTGGTTTTCAACAGTTTTTTTTTTTTTAACAATTTATTTACATTACACTTTTGTGGGTGACCATTTCTCTATGAACTTTTTTTTTTAAGTCTTTGATATGCAGACAAATTACCCAACCAATTACGAAACCATAAAAATTTTCCTGGAAGAAGGAGAGATAAAAAGACATGAAGCAAAACAAAATGTGGAAAGCAAAAAAAATTTAAAAAATTAGCGTGCCTGGGCCACACTACTAACTAGAGAACTAGAGCGTAGATTCCTTCAATATAGATATTTCTAGTTCGCTTCGTATTGCAAAAATTTTTCTTAAGCTTAATATTAACATTATCCTTAGCCCAAATTTTCGTCGTCATACTCGTCCTTCTATTTGACTTTCTCTTCGTATTCGTATTCATCTCCGTCTTAATTTTCGGAAGCATATTTGTTTTCGTTTTCTATTTCGACTTCTTATTCGCCTTCATATTCGTATTGCTCTTCGCATATGTCTTCGTCTTCGTATTCATGCTCGTATGCGTATTCTTGGTTGACTTCATATTGGTCCTTGTATTCGTATTCGTCTTCGGTTTGTCTTTGTATTCGTTTTTTTCATTCGTATTTGTCTTCGTTTTTGCATTGGCTTTCGCATTTTCCTTTGCAGACGTCTTCGTATTAATCCTAGTATTTGTCTTCGTTTTCATTTAGTGTTCGTGTTCGTATTCGTCTTGGTTTTTATATTCGTCTATGTGCTCGTATTTGTGTTCGTTTATGGCTTCGAAGCAAAATATTCACGTATTTTGAGACACCATAAGGAAAATGTTGCCCATACGCACTGGTGCTCCTCCGCCAAAACAGCTACATATTAAGTCCGTTGGAGCTTCAATAGCAAATTAAATAAATTTCATAATAGGGCGTCGCCTCTCTGAGATCACGCGCAGACGGCTCGGATCGGTTCTTTCCAATTCTGACAGGGCCGTTGGTGTTGCTCAATGTCATTTTGGTGCAGTGCCAGTAAATTATATAGCTGATAGACCCACTTTAGTTCCCACGTAGGCTTTGCTTTTTGGTTTCATAGATATCATCTTTTTTCATTCAGTATCGGACATAATATAGTATTTAGCCATGTAAGTGAGACTATTTTATTTTTAAATATTTGTCACATAAATTTGGCAGTTCATCCATATTTAGATTATCTAAAATTTTTTTAGCTAAGCACCTTCATCGAAAGTACCAAATCCGGAATTTACAGATTATTTGGAAATTTGCGTTAACCAACACTCTTCAGAATAGCCTAATCATCGATTAATATATTCTGGTGCGAGTTTGATGAAATGGTTGAAATTTTTTTTGAATTACAGATTTCTCTTCATTGCCGTCTAATTTTGAAAACTGAAGCGTTAAAATGAAAGAAAGATAAAAAAGAAGAGTTTAGCTTTAAAGGAGGGCTTTTTACTCTATGGAGATGACGGAGGACATTTCGTGGCAAAGGAGTACTCCTGTCCTCCCAGAGGCGGACGATTGGCAAGCCTAGTATACACCAAGTTCACAATGTGAGGCTTCAAACCACGTCTTGCTAGCTAGAAAATTAAAAAAAAAAAAAATAACCATTTAATTTAAACCATTTAGAATTTTCGCTAAATTTTACATGCTAAATTTTAAAATTCTAAACGATCGTTTATTGATTATAAGAAAAAACTCTTGCTAGCTATACTTTGCATAATTTTACCCTCGTTCAATTTCAATTTCCTCTTCCGCTAGCAAAATAAATAAATTCAAGGGCAAGATACGTAGGTCGTCATAACACATGCAACATAAACAAACAACAACAAAAACATAATATTAACCGCATAGAAAAACTTCAGAATATTACCGTGAGTACTACAATATACTTACAAATGCATATACAGGCATATACATACCTACATACATATAAACACGTTTCTTAAGTTTGCAAATAAATTATTTTTATTTGCCACCGCAATTTTGGCAAACATGCAATCATACTTCCCATAATTTTAAGTATCCAAAGTGCAATCATATATTTTGTACAAACTTAAAGGTAAATTTAGGTGCCAACATACCAACGCAAATGCATGTTAACATGCTCACATATACATACGTACATATGCACATATGTTTGTATGTAGCATGTGCGCTTGTGAACGCCACAAATTTGCTATGTAGCTGCAATTGCAAGTTCTTCGTTTTCTTGATTGCCTCTGTGCATTGCCGGTTATTGTGCAATTTTCCAATTTATCATTTGCGGCAATATTTACCTTCCCCTTCCTTCTCCTTCTAGGAAGCATGTTTGCTCACAAACATACACTCACACACCCACCCGTGCACATATTTCGAGGTGTGCTGCTTACATGAAATGATATGCGCAAAAGCCAAGGCGTCATGTAGCTGTGTCGTTGATGCTTGTAATTGCCACATTTGGCGCTGTTAGGTTTTGCCCTTACATTGGTACATGCTTCGGCAAGCGCAATTGTAGCATATGAAATTTACGATTCTCTCTTTGCCAGTTTGTTCCATTTCTTAGCTGGTTTTTGTATTTTTTTTTGTACTTTACTTTCGTCACAATTTTGGCTTATGCAAACTTGCTATGTGGCTTCAATGTCATTGCATGTCGTAAATGATTCGCCCTCTCACACAACCTTTGCTTCAAAAGCTGTGGTTTTATTGCCTTCTTAGGCCATAGTTAGATTTTTTACACAAAACTCTACGTAAATACTATGCAAATGCTCGTATATACCTAAATTCCCAGTGGACACACAATTCGCCAACAAAAAAGTCTGGGCTGGCAAATCAAATCCTTTTATGCAGACTCAATCCTTGAGGTACTTCGGGCCGAAGCTAACCGTAGCAGTCCACACAAAATGGCTTCAAAAATATTGCAATGCGTCTGTGTGTAGAAGATCTGCCATTAAATACCACCGACTTGTTTATTGATGGAATAACACAATCTGCTTCGTTATACTAGCGTTCAAGATAAAGACCAAACTGCAGCAACTTTCGTTTGAAGTTGCCCAAAAAACGATAGCAGCTAAAAATGGCGAAACGCAAGAGTCAACATCAAAGCTCCAAACCCGGAATAAGTTTCCAGCTCTGCGCTAAAATTCCAGTAAGTCAGCATAACATGTCCTGCCTTTTGGTTGCGTCTGATTATTTTCTAGTTAGACTTTTATTTGGTACCAGGCAACAAACATATTTTGCCGGAAACTGCGTTCCGGATAAGTTGGCCAGGAAGGGCGCTTTCAAGTCGTCGGACCCACTGAATAAAGAGCGGGTGGATGTGCCTTTGGCTGCAGGCGGACTGATTTTGACTAGATGGGCTTCGTGTCCGTTCAGCGGCAGCTGCGCGAAAAACAGCGCATCTACAATTGCGTGATCTTTCTGGCCGAAGGTGGACCGTAGACGGTCAAGGAGCTCACCTGCGGAGCTGTTTACAGTATGACGATTTTCGGCAGTAAGCCTTCTTAAAACTCTTTAGTTTGACACCCACATGGCAATATTGCATTTATTTTATCAATTTACTGAGTTTAAATTTTCAAATAGGTGGCAACCCTCGTCAAAAATACTTCCAGCAGTTATCTTTCTTAAACCTCTTTAACGTGATACCCATATTGTAATAATTCATTAATTTTATCAATATAATTGGGTTTAAAAATTTTAAAATAGGTGGCAACCCTCCAAATTTTTGCGATATCATTGGTTATGGTATTATACCGAATAAAAAAAAAAAAAAAATATTCAAATCAGTTCAGCCGTTCTCGGGTTTTGATGACCGTGACATACGAACACAACATTTTTATATATATAGATATACATAGAAAATGTCCAATGTGTGCTTTCGATTTTAATCTTTGACCACAACAAAAATTTCACATTGTACATTCGTGAATGAACTTTCAGTTTCTCGATTACTTTTACAATTCCTTTGAGTAATTGAAAAAACTAAAGTACTCTTGCAATTCCAGGTAATGGAATTGAAAAAAAAAATCAATTAAATTTTCAATTCCTTTCAAAGGATTTGGGAAAAAAATTACATTACTAGCACGTAATTTATTCCAATTACAATACGAAATTTCTTGTAATGGAATTAAAGAAAAAACCAATTACATTGAAATACATTGGAATTGAAAAAGTAATCGATTCCTTTGCTGTGGACTGAAGGAATTGATTCCTAATTACAATTCCTTGTAATCTGTAATTGGGAGTAATTTAATTCCTAAAGAAATCATTACGACCCAGCTCTGATCTCGACTAAATAACTGCCGTTTACATCCAGGCTGCAAGACTATAAATGGAACATAAGACTTCGTGTCGTAGCTGTAATTCACCAGATGCATCTCGCTGCTCTGTAATTGCCCAGCACCGCGCAGTACTAGAATCAGGTATCTAGGCAAACTCTTCTACGTACTGCGGTCTAATCAACAAAAGTGATTTTATGCCACTGCAACTTTTTTGGTTCTTGGATTACACGAGCT